AAGTAAGAAAAGCCTCCCTCCTCATTCTATTATTAGGACAAGTTAACATTACAAGCTTGCAATCTTCTATTCTACCATGATTGATTCAGAGTCAAATCCTCCACCCCTCCTCTCTTCTTTCCTTTGCCCATCACACACCCTGTTGGTACAAATTTAATTTTCTTTCCAGGCTTCTGCTGCAGCTGTAAAACTCAAAGGTGGCTGCCATGATTTACTTTAAAAAAAAATACTCTAACTGAGCACTCACTCACCAAAATCATGCTTGCTCTCCAGACCATCACCCCATAAAAAATTTTTCCATTATATTTCTTTATATAATTTTGTTAAAGTGAAGGTAGATCAACTGAACCAGGAGATTGAATGCAAGCTCTTACCCCAAATGTGGAGCTGAGAGACACTACATCTGTTTTGTTTACTCCTTTCACAGTGGTTAAGCAATCCGTGAGCTGGATTGAGAAGAAATAAGATCTTATTGATAGTTTGAAACAGTAACTATAAGTTGATTACACAATAAGACAAAATAAGTAAAAAAAAGGGAAACAATATTTGATTGTTTTATTCTCTGAACATCTCAACATCAGTAAACACAGAGATATGCTCTAGAGGAGTACTAATATATCCTTAATTTTTTTGCTATCTGCTTTAAAATTTACCACACAAGCAACAAAAATAAATTGATGGTCTCTACATGTACTCCTCTTTCTACTCTACCATCCAGAGCTAATAAATGTTATCTAATTAATTACAGATTTCATCTTTTGCCCTACTTTATTCTCACCTTTTTAAATGAAAACCAAATTAAGTTCCTCTAAAGTATACTTGTGCTTACAATATTTAAAGCTTTCAAAGTAAAACCTTTGACTGTAAACACACAAAGAATAATGGAAATATCACCTTGCTGAGGTAATCTCCTTCACTTTGACCAAGAAGAGCATCAGGTGGTTTATTTTCATAAACTTTGTAAGTTTCAAGATATCTTCCTGCCTCCTCTGAGCTATAAAAGTATGACAATAAACAAACATACACAAGAGTACACAAATAAAAAAAAGTCTCTGTCAGTATGTACAATTTTAATAATCATGATTCAATTCCCCATCAATACTGTAAAAGAACTTGCAGCTCACAGTTAAAAGAATTCAGAAAACTCAGAACAAATACATGTCAGACCATTTCATCAGTACACATGCATGACAATAGGTCAGTGATAAGAACAAGAGAATTTAAGGAACTTCATGGAAAATTTCTCAACATTCTGACATTTTGTGTAGGTAGCTGCAGTATAGAGATATAAACTAATAGCAAAGGTGCATAGCTAAGACGTAAATAACAGAATGGGAAAATAGTGTTTACATGCAACAGTATGGAGTGTAACTTTGTACCTCCAGGCAAGCATAAGAGTACAGTCAGCCATCAGTGCCATTTTAGAAAGCTCCCTTATCGTCTGGTGAGGATCTTTCTAAAACAGAAATATTGTTGAAAAAAATGATAACTCTTAGTAACAGTCAAACAAATTAAATGTCTTTTTAACTACTTGTAAGTTTCTAACAAAGATCTAAGACTTCCAATTTTGAAGGATTGACAATATAAGAAGACTTTTTCGTTACCAGCAATATATAACATTATCATCCATCTTCACAGAGTAAAAATAACATGCATTTTGAGCTCAAACATCCACCATTATAGTATCCAACTGCACTTAGTAAATGCATAAATTGGGTACAAATATTGTGCAATATTTGAACAGTTGATTGTTTTGTATTATAAAAAGCCTGTTTAATCTGTCAGCTGAGTGTGCTACAATTCTCTTACTGTTTTGCTTTTCCTGTCTCATCAGAAAAGTGAAGAAAATAAAGCAGTTGGATAATCAGTAACTTATGAGACATTTTGGTATGAAGTATTAATGTGTATTTTTAAAAGTTGTTTGTATTTTGGTTAGCCCTATGGACTCGCCAAAATATGGTACAACTCATAAAAATACTTTGCAAGACTATACACCACATTGTCTCATAATATATTTATAGTCTCAATCATGTTTTTCTTGACTATGTTTCAAGAAAACAAATCAAACTGCTTTTCCCAGGAGAAAACATTAATTAAAGGATACATCATTGTTGGGTGCTGCAAATACTTACCACATCAACTTGAACAAGAAGTATTCTAAGTTCATATCTCTGTCCAAGGAGTTTCAGTCTCTCATGGATGTACTCTGGGTTGAAGTGATGATACCTTAAACTTAACAAAATGTAGGATTATATGGAAAACTAAAGCTCAATTAAAACTTTTTTGCAAAGCTGAGGCAGATGTAAGTGATATGTTTTAATCATTTTAATACACATGGCAGTGAAATATATTAATATTTTAACAATACACAAAATTTAATTTTAGTTTTTGAGGTGATAAAAATATTTATGTGCTATGTGATTATAAGCAAACACAGTCATAATCAATCATGTAGTGAAACTGACCTTGTTATAATTACCAGTAAATCATTACATAACTTTAAGGGATATTATTCAATTGAAACCTTGTCATTTCAAGATTCCCATTAAAAGCCAGACCTCACAGCCACTGAGCCACAATACATACACTTTGTTTCACTCCCTGTCTGCCCCTGCACAGAAGTGATTTTAATGCTTATTTATGTCAAAAAGAGTAAGCAACAAGACAACATTAAGAATTGACACAACATTAAGAACTGACACTGTTTCATACCTTAAAAACAGAGCACAAGTTGAAGGACCCAGCACATAATCTGGAATAATATCTCCCATCTCCCATGGAACATTCCTGATATGTTTTAACACTGGATTTCCCTTCTAAAGCACACAAAAAATAGAGCAACAAAAGAAGTTACAAACATTTTTCCCTCAATAGAAAGAGTAAGGATTTGTAAACACAAATTTGCAACTTCTGTTGAAAATAAACAAATATAATGATTAGAGAGTTATGCTCAGCTAAAGTTAATTATGAAAAAGGAGTATTAAAAACATCCTTTTTAACATAAATCACTGAGCTCTAGAGCTGATCTTAAACCTTTGTATGACAACTGGGCCAATTTTTTTTTTTAATAAAATTTTATAAACCTCTCCCATGTCCTCCAAATAATCAATACTTTATAGATCAAATAATTCCATTACTTGGGCAATGTCTGGTATTCTTATTAGACTGAATTGAACAACATCTTGGTGAATCTTTCCTTTCGAGCTTTGCCTCCAATCTATCAATGGTTATTGACCTATTAAGGCCAGTGGACTCAAGAATGGCCAGAGAAAAGCAACAATGACATGGAGGAGTATCAGCAGCTTGATGAAATAAAGTGGGAGTGAAAGAAATACAAACATTTGGGCCCATTCCATAGTTTGCTGATTTTCCCATAAAAATAAAAGCAAATATTTAGTTCATCTGAACTAATTTACCTTAACCCTTTAACTCCCATGAGTGACCAAGACAGAATTTCTCCTTACAATATCAATGCAATATCAATTAGATAAGTAATGAGAATAAAGAAAAATATCAATTTGGGGATAATTAGTTGATCCAATCCTAAATTCTCTACACTAACATTATGAGAAATGTATGGTTGACATAAAGGAGAATTAGAAACTCAATCTAGGAGTTAAAGGTTAAAATTAATATATCATGGTACCCATCATTATTACCTGTCTTGGATTAACAATAATAGCATTTCTGTTTGATTTTGAAGTCACAGGTACAGATGAACTGTTGACATCTATTGTTGATCTGCAATGAGAACACGAGTAATAATGTTATGATAACAAATCAAAATATTTTGCAGGCTGTTAAATCTACATATGGGTCTACTTGAGGTACACAAAATGGCAATTTGAAGTTACTGATAACTTCAAGAAAGGAAATAACACTCTTTGTGTTCAATAGGGATCAGGTAACAACTACCTGAAGAAAACTCCGTACAATGTAACAAAGAATGCAACACTAGGAGTGTGGAGGGATTAAGAATTCAACAATAGGAATGTGGAGGGATTAACAGAAAAGAACAACCGTTAAAACCCTTCAACTCCCAGATCAAATTTGTAATTCTCTTTACTGTCAACCATACAATTTTTATAATGTTAGTTCAGAGAATTTAGGATTGGATCAACTAATTATCCCCAAATTGATATTTTTTCTTTATTCTCATCACTCATCTGGTTGATAATGTATTGCTATTGTAAGGAAAAATTCTGTCTTAGTCACTCAGGGGTCAGGGGAGTTAAAGGGTTAAGGTTGAAATGACAGTTTTGCAAATAATTATTTTCAATATTTCCTGCAAGCTCATGGGAAAATTCAAACCTGAAGGAGGAAATTCCTCCTCTGGAAGAATATAATATGAAGTAAAACGTGTACTACACGGTCATTGACATTTAAACTAATTAGGGTGAGTCTAAGGGAATTATTTCTTCCCGGCTACTGCTCAAGCATATGAAAAGATAAGTCTGTGTTATAGAGCCCATTGACACATTGAATCAAAACCCACTCTTTTTCCTTTATTTTTGCTACTGTCTCTTTAAAATGATTCGTCTCCTCCAGAAATGCAAACGTCTCTCGGAATGTCTTTCCCACGGTAGGTTTGACAGAACAATCACTGCTACTATTTCCTTCTCCTTCAACCTTGTTCTGGGCAGGTAGAATTTCCCGAAAAGGGACAGAATCCTGTTTTGGAACGCAGTTTTTGTTGAGTAATCCTGTCCCTCCATTCAGTGTTAGCTCAGATTTGCTTCCAAGGTTGTTGACTTCGTGTCTTTTTAAATCACCAGCATTACTTGTTGCCGAGTTAGTACCATCCCTACTTTCTTCGATATCCTTGCTGGATGTCTTATACGTATTAAATATTGGATTACGCCTGGATTCTTGTACATCCTTGTCCAACTCTTCTAGAGATGGAACAGTGAATTTCCTTTTGGTTGCCGCCATTTTCAAAATCGAGCGATAAGTTGGGGCTGAGATGACTGCTTTACATAGCTAGTGCAGGCGCAAGTTTGGAAATACAAAATGGAGGCAGTCATAGCGCATAATGAAAGACTAAGCCATGGTTTAGTTGCCATTTTTATGTTATTCTTATTTATTGAAGGTAAGTCCTGAATATTTTCATGTCCTCTTTCGACCTAATACTACCTCCTTTGATATCCAGCTGCAAATAATTTGTTTGAAGTAATTTATCAGTGAGGTGTTTTCTAAATATACATTTTGTACCTTTCTGAGCTTTAGCTTACTACTTAGATGCACATGCAGTGACTAGACGTTATATTCAAACAAACATTATGATGAAAATGCAGTCTCTATATTATTATGATTTAAATGGTAATAACCAATGACGATCTGTCTTTTTGGCCACCGTTTTGCAATCACGCTATTCTAATTAAGGTTATTAGCTTCGTAGCTCACGTTTAGTCAGTTTTAGTGTTTCGCTCATGATCCAGCTTGAGAAACTGAAACAAATCAATTCGAACAACAATAACCATAGGGTGTAGGTCCACAGTGGATACTACTGAGATGAAATGAGATGTATACGATTAAGTGGCGGTGTATTCTATAGTTTTATGGGTTTAAGGAACGTTCATATGTATTTGATAGTGGAAAGCAGACAGTACCTCGTTTTCCTTCGCGACTGGTGCAGTGGTACGAATAGAAATTAGATTTAAAGTCATCAAACAAATGGAAAGATTACTTTGGATCAGATGATGACCTTGATGAAGAACTAGTAATTTTGTCCACCATTCTTTCATTTTTGAAAGTCTGTTAATTCTCCCTGTAACTATGGTGCAGGCAAACCATGCACCTGTCCAAAAATTGGGACAGAAATAGATTATGCCCATAGCAACTGAAATTTTCTTTACTTAGTTAGAAACTTTAATGGTCTATATAAAAATTGTTTAGTTTCCGGGCCTGAAAAGGTGAAAATTGTTGAAGCACCAGCAGTCTACAGATCTGGACAAATGTGAGTTTACTCTTAGACTAACAAAGCTTAACCATTGCAAGATGATGTAATGATGATTGAAATAAGGACATTATTTGAAAGCAGGAATTAATGTATTTACCCATACACTCCTGGTTAAAGTACAGTATCAGTTTGAACAATGGCTTACTAGTGACTGATAACCTCAAAATAATGAAAAACAAACAAGGGCATTGTTGGACAAAAGGGAAGAACCTTTTTCTATTTAACTCTGTTTCACACATTGTTGGTCAACTAGGAAATGTCAGTTGTGCATAATAAAACTGATTTATATTATCTTAATTAGCTCAAATATCATGGTATTAAGTTGGTTCACAGATTTCTTGGGGTCTGTTAATTTGGTTTTTATTAAAGGCATATGTACCTATAATCATATGAGTTGCACCTTGTAGTATACAGATAGTGATAAAATCAACGAAAACAGATGATAATGTGATGATCATATTATTGTTAGATTCTGTTAATTAATGATCATAATGATAATTATAATGATTATAATAGTGATAATGATAACAATCATTATGATAATGATGATAATAATAATATTAATAGTTATATATCAATACTCTTGCTTGCAGTCTGCATGTGCATTTGATACATCGTTTGCTTTTTGCTTTGTCAGGAGTAATAGTTATCAGCCTGCTAGACATATATCTCAAAGTGAAACTAAGGTATTACTGTTTAACTTGCTCAAGTATTCTGATAGTACTATTGATAGAGGCCTTATGTTTTTCATATATCATATGTTTCATGGATTCTAATCATTTTTGTGTTTACCTTATAGCTTGCTGCCAGAGTAAAACCTAGTGTTGTGTCAGGTAAACAAAGCACTTTTTTTAATATAAGCATTCTTTCCAGCTAAATGTATCTAAAAATGGAATCATATTTTCTCTTTGCAGTCTTGGTTAGAATGCTAAGCACAATGATGGGTAGTTACTGGAATTACTGTAACTGTGAAACTCAGAAAACTGAGAACACTTTGATTCCATTCTGATAGGTCAATTGTATCCTGGTCACTCAGAAAAAGCACAAAGTTTACTGTTTCTGTTACTGTAGTTATTGTAGTTACTGTTACTGTTTGCAGTTCAGTTGCCTTACGCCTGAGTAGCTTTTTTCTTTAAAAAGCAATAATTTTCCACAAGTACTTCTGGTGTGCTCGGTTTCTGAGCTTCACAGTAAGTGTTCCAAGGAACCACTGGGAGTTTAAGGTGTCTATGACTTTTCAGCCACTCAACATTAATATGCATTTTGATTGATTTTTTGACCAT